TATTATATTGCTGAAGTTAGTTTTTGGTGTATTTAATATTGGGATATTTATAGAGCTTTTTATTACACATGATATAGCCAATATTTATAATAATTAAGGAGAATTTTGTAAGGCAGAAACTTTGATTTCGTAGAAACTGTAATTTATTTAGGTTCCTATTACTTACGGTGTTATAAATAGGTGAAGCATATGGATATACTGGTCGGATCATTGCTTTATAAGAATACAGTTTTCCCCTTTAATGAGAATTTTAAATGTATACTAATATGTACGGTTTGAGAAATCTGAAAATGGCGTGAACAATGCTGATTATTTTATTGCTGTATACAGTTATATTTCTAAGCAAAAACTCATCTCCGTGTGGCTCTGATGCCATATTGAAACGGGTAAGCAAGAAGGTTTTCTGATTATGACACGTGATAAGAACTCGGTCGGCTATTGGCTATACGCGCGCGTCGCGGGCGAAAAAGCTGAACAGGAGCGTACTCAGTTTTACGTCTTCTGCGGCCTGCGAATTTACGCCGGCGTCAAAAAAGTTACGTCAACTACGTCAGGAGCGTCCTCGTGTGGACGAGCCTTAACTGCCCTCCTTTCTTATTATAACTGTGGAAGGAACATAGGTTTCCCAATGCATGGAAGAAGGTTTCCTATAGCAGGGAAAAAACCCAAAGAGTCCTTCAAACTAATGGCCCATTGCACTTACGAGCTGTATCTGTGAGCATTTTGAAAAATGGTAAATTGCTGCCAAATTTATTATTTAGAAAAAAAAAAAAAAAAAAAAAAAAAAAAAAAAAAACATAATCCTGCCTTATCAGAGTGGCTTTTGGAAAGGGAGAACAGCCATTGGTAATATGCTTTATTTGGGAACCTCCATTCACAGAGCCTTTGTGAAAAGAAATCATCTAGCTTATGTTTTTTGACATGGAAAAGACATATAATGCACGCATATAATATAATGCATGGACATACGGTATTTTTCATGAACATCAGGCTACTGGCTTGCATGGTAATTGACCTAATTTCATGGAAGGCTGGGATTTTCAAATAAGGATTGTCTCTGTAGTATCAGATAGATTTTGTCAAGGTGTGCCTCAAGGCAGTGATTTTAATGGTTGCACTTTTTAGTTTAAAAATAAATTCTATTCTAAGAGAACTCCCTCCTACCATTTTAGGTTCATTCATCAGTTAATAGTTGTATTAAAATTTGTTTACTTCAACATATAAGCTATTACTAATTTTATCCACGCAAGTACTATGTACATTAATTATTAATTATATTTTACTTGCATTTAAAAGTGCAGTTGATAAATAAAGCTTTACAGTTTGGGATTTTTCTCAGTATAAAAGTATGAAAAAAATTAGAGTAAGAATGCAAAATTTAGAAAATCTAATTAAATGCCAAAATATTTTACTTCAGAAATTTATTACAAATACAGTAAGACCCCGCTTAATGCGGGGTAAATGTTCCTTCAAAGTAGAGCAAAATATGAAACAGCTTTAAACGGGGTTATCTCATCAGGTAAATAATGGGGTTAGGGGAAGATGAGTAGAAAATTTGTCAGGCATTTTATCATTAAATTTATTATGTTTTTTTATAACAATAAAACAAAAATTTATTTCTTACAAATATAGAAACATAATAAATGAGAATATACATATAAAAATTAATAAAATTCTAAGGCATTTTACCATTACATTTATTATGTTTTTTATAACAATAAAACAAAAATGTCCAGTGTCACCGCCCTTGCTTAGATCTGCCGAAATGTTCTTCCACACCCCTTTCAGACATTTTTCTGTTACCTCATTCCAACAAAGGTTTATGTTTTCTACAGCATTCATGATATTGCAGTTTTTCAAAAACTCTCTTATTCATTGTTTCTCTTCTCCATCTATTTTTTTCAAACATCTGTCCAAATGTTCGCTGCTGGTAATGAGCCGTAAAATTTGATATAATGTCTTGATTCATTGGTTGGATTAAGGCAGTTGTGTTAGGCAGCAAGAAAACCACTTCGACTTGAATGCATGTTATTAAATCAGATAAATTCGTTGGATGGCTTGGAGCATTATCAATCAAAAGTAGTGCTCTTGATTCAAGGTTTTACATTTTACAGTAGTGTTTAAAAGACGGGCAAAAATGTTCAGTGTTCAGAAAAATTTTCGTAGTTATCCATGACTTTTTATTAGATTCCCAAATTTTGAAATCTCCGCTTGCATTACCACCTAGTAGAAGCGTTAAGCGTTCTTTCGCAGCTTTAAATACTGGTGCACGTTTTTCTTCATGGGATAGAAATGTTCATTTTGGCTATTTTTTTTTTTCGTAAAATAGGCCTGTTTCATCAACATTAAAAACCAATTCTGAAGGATAGTTTCCTCATTCAATTATTGTTTTTAATGTCACTGGGAATTCAGCCACCGCTTTTGTATCACCATTTGTGCTTCTCCTGTAATTTGTACCAGGGTTTCTTAAACTTTTTTCACTCGTGATCCCCCAGGACCCCACAATATTTACAAAACTTTTGTGGGACCCCATAAGCACTGTGCGAATTTGACACATGCGTGAGTGAAACTGTCAATTTTTTCACTTGCACTGTAATATACTATTGCAGTTTTAGGTCATTAATTTCTAATTTTAAGACATAGAACAATGTGAAAATTTTAAATAAGTAACAGACGAAATGACAGCGTCACATGCAAAGCAAGGAAAATGAACGTTTATATTATAAAAAAAATGCGTCAAAACCTTTTAGTTTTTTCTTTGTCTTTGTTGGCTTATCTTTATCTATTTTCAGATACACTGTGTAAAAATATTTGGTAATTGTAAAATTATTATAATAAGTTAAAGAAATATCAAAACTGCTAAAATTTTTGGCAACCCACAGTTAAAGAAACCCTGTATTAAACCATCCTCGACTTGTAACGAAAGTTTCACTTGTGTCACTTGGCCTCAACCTGAATGTAATTAAAAATTCTTGCTTTTTCCATTAAAATAGGTTGGCTTAATGGCATATTGCGTTCAGTTTCCTTGTCATTTCATGTAGAAAGTTGTTTTTCCATTTCCTCTATTGTATTTTTTCTAGAACGGGTAATTCTAGTTGCAGAGCTTGTCGCAGTTGCCAATGACAATATTTTTTCTTTATTCATGGCCCATGATAAAAACTAAAAATCATAATATTTCTCACCATATCAATCATTATATAAATTTATACTTACAATAACGTCAATAAATGTTTGAAACGATAAAAATACATTCATATCACACCGCAGGAAAGAAGAAACACAGATAAACTGCTTCGGATATCGGGAGCCTAACGCTGCATGCGATTTCGGGGAATCCCACAATTCAAATAAAAGAGCATTAAGTGGGGTCTTACTGTAGGTTAATAACCTCAATCATGCATTATAAATATTGAATTAGAGTTAATTTGAAATGGTCATTGTTCAGTGTGAAAATCTAGTTTTCTGGCAAAAATCTTCCAGTTTTTTAAGATTTCAAGTTTGGCAACTATAGTACAGTCAAAAGTCTTTAATCCGGACTCGTCGGGACTTCGGCGATTCCGGATTATCGATTTTTCCGGATTATAGATCATCAGTTTAAATCCGGTAAGATGGCATGCAGAAATTATAAAATAAAAAATATGAAACCGTAATTTATAAAATAATGAGCAATTATGATCTAAAGGGTATCAAAATTTACACAAAAAGAAGCTTAATATTTATTTGTTTGCTTTATTAAACATTTCTTTCAACATGCGCATGCATACCTTATGCATAGCCGAAATTAGAAAATTGCAACCAGAAAACTATTTGATTTGTATTCGTGATATTTATAATGATGAGGAATTTGATTTAAATCATATCAAAGACGGAGTACATCGAGATTAAATACTACATTTTGTAAGGAATTATAAGCCGAATAAAATAAAAACATCTGCTCTGAAGATAACGATAGTGCTGACAGATCAACTTCCAGTTCATCGTGCGGCGCGACGTCCCCGCACAGAGCAGCGTGAAATTGATAAACAGATTTCGGAACGGTTAGATAAACAAAGGATATACCTTTATCCATTTTTTGTAGCAATTCGTTTTTTGTTTGATGGATATCGAAACATACTTTCGTTTTCTAGATCCTTTGGGAGCTCCAGCATCGGAAATTCTATTTGACATAATCAAAAGTTCAAGCTTACTTTTATAAAATTGCTCTTACAGTCTGCAAAAAATAATAAGCCGGATCCAATTCGAAGATTAAGGAACAACGCAATTGTCAACGTTAACTGAAATAGATAATTAGATAATTTTAGCTTATGCCATCCGTTATACATTAAACGCGCACGAGAAAATGTATTCTGCGCTTGCGCAGACGCATATGCGCAGTCGTAAATGTCTTGCGCGCACACGTAAAGCGCCTATGAGTGAGTATGTGTCAACACGGCGCATGCGCAGAAAGATTTTAGCTTTGAGGTCCGGATTATAGATCATTCCGGATTATGGGTGCCCGAATTAACGACTTTCGACTGTATAAATCTTTTTCAGGGCTTCCTCCCCTCCCCACAGAAGTTTTTTTGCTCCTAAAGAAGTATCAACTCTAATTTGATAAAGTTAATCAAAATCAGTGCCACCTTAAAATTACTCTTTTACTGAAGTTGGCTAAAATCAAAAGAAAGCTAGCAACTTAATTCCTTACTTGATGACATTTCTCTATCTTTTGACAATTTATAAATTCAAATATCTCATTTGGCAACTTTATTGAGATAAAAAATACATTTTATAATATTTTGATCATATTAACTAAACATTAAGCAGTGTATTTTCCGTGTGTACATGTCCATACTTCAGCAATTTGATAACGATATCCAAATGATAACGTTAACCACAATCATGCTAAACAGTACTGAAGTACTATTCTAATTTTCTATGCATTTCAATATATTGCCTTATTTTTTAATTATTCATTACCTTATGAAATTTTAGCTAAATCGTATTCTTTCTTCCAGCCTATAAAAATGGAACAATATCCACTTTTGAAAAAAAGAACTTTAGCTGTGGTTCTGGAAAAACAGGTAATTTAATTTCTTTCTACAATTTTTACATTCAAAAATGATTAATTCATGTTGCAGAATGGCACATCTTTGTAAAATCAAGGTGAAAAAGGCATATTAAACTTTGTTTCAGCTCTTTGTGGATAGCTTGTTAGAGGCAAATGCACGTGAAGCATTTTAATTGTATTCCAATAAATAAGAGAACTTTGAAATCGGAAAATAAAACCTTCCGAACTTTTAAGAATGGAAGTATCCACAATTAAAATCAAACCTCAAATAAAATTTCCAAAGGAAGCAAAGTACAAAACAGCTAGAAATTTCTTGAAAATCGTCTGATCACAAAATGGCTAATTGTAAGGGAAATGTGTCAGTCTGAAATTAAAAATTTGACTAAAAAAGAAAGGAAAAAGGAAGCTTTTGCTTTGGTGTATATATTGAATAGAGCTTTTTCAGTGTTGAAGGTGATCTGACATGATGTTGTTTACGATATGTGTTTTTTGAATACAAGTCAGTTTTTCCTAGAAAGTTTTCCACAGAGGTATCCCTTCTCTTAGGTAAATTGTTCTATCATTTGCCTTAATCTATCAAGTAAATGTCTATAGAGGGATTATTGAAGGGTGTAAAACTAATAATTTTTCTTATAAAATTGCAAGTTTTAAAAAGTAGTTGGTAATCAAAGATCCAGTTAGTAATAAAGGAGTTGTGCAGGCATAAAATAATTAAGGATCATTAGCATGCTGTCACGTATGTCATATTCAAACTTAGGAATTTTTCTGGGGGGTTTTCTGTTTGCAGTAGGTTTTATTATTATTGTCATTAGTTTATTTTCTATACCTAAGCCGCCAGGTAAAGTAAATTTTTAGGTGTAGTTCTTTGATATAGCTGTTTTTATATCTGTAGAAATAATTTGAAGTCTCTGTAACAAATTATTCAACTGGCATTTATTCTTATTCTCTTTCTTTATTCTTATTTCTTATGCAACTTTAATGTTGTAAATGATATATGGCTGCTTTTATTTAATGAGATTTGCATCTACTTTATGATCTTGTTCTTTAGATTTTACTTTTCATTGTTATTTTATGTTAAGTCATAGGAATAGTTTTTTAGAAAAATAATTAATTATTTAAAAATGAAATTTACTTCCTAAATGATTCTTGCTAAAAAATATAAGTTTTAATGAAAGAAATTTCAGAATGGTTTCTTCTGATCAACTGAAGTGATTACTGTGATTTTGGAAAACAGTTCCCTTCTAGTTGACAGCTAAGACTATAGTACTCTCTAATCAGGCACAAAATATATCTAACATAGTGAAGTAAAAAATGTAATACTTTTTTAGAATTTTTCTTATAAAAGAGTTTTTAAATATTTTTATGAATCTGAGAATTTTTTGAGTTGTTAATTTTTTGTTTTTCTTACTGAAGCTACCACCCACAGAAACTCTGATTGTGAGTGAGTCGATTGACAATTCTACTAGAGGATCAAGTAAATCTAATGTTTCTTTGAGCACAAGTGCAAGAGAACTAAGTGAAAATGATGACTTGGTTTCAAGTTTAGTTTTAGATCCATATTTGAATTTTTCGACTCATAAGATGAATACTAGGTATGTATTTATTTTACAATTCTTTTAAAGTTTAGAAAACAGGGCATGCTGTCATAATGTGTATAAACAGGGTGCCCACTAAAGTCAGGTGCCATCCATTTAACTGGCAAACAGCTGCAGCTATATTCAGTCATAAAAATAGTGACTAAGTGTAATATAAGTAGCTGTGCTCTACTAAATGAGACTGCTTACAGCACTGCCCTGTGGAAAATGGTAGAGTTAGCATTCTAGTCTCGAAAATGGTACGAGATGGGAGGAAAAATTGAATTACCAAGTTCTAGAACATCGCAAATTAAGTACAAAAAACATCTTATGGATATGAATGTTAAAAACAGAATGCTGGAAATAGACATTTTTGTTTCTTCGTGATTTCCAAAACTGTGATGTCACAAAACTTGAATGAAAGGAGTGAAGATTAACTTTTGGGGGAAAAAGCGAGCCTTTCACAGCACAATTGAGAGGACTGTGATTCAAACCCCACAGGGTACATCCTTGTACTGATAGTCTTTATATGGAGATTGTGCACAGTCGTATCGTAAAATGCATCAACTCAAAGCGAATTGACCTTGGTGCGCATTATGCAAACCTGAGACAGTTCTAAAAGATGTCTTCTGGGGGACTCAGTATTGAAGTTCATGGTTGTGGAGCGATTTTCAAAAAATGATTGTTGTGAGAGTTTTACTTTATGATTTATGTGGGCTCAAGGCACAATCAGCAGTGTGGTTGTATCAGCAACTGTTTACTGTAGGCCCAATTCCTTGGCAAAAATTGTCCTACAAGTTGTGAAACATTTAAGGAAGACATGTTGTGTGACTAGCCGACTTCAGATCGGCTAAGGTAGGGTGAAAAGTATAACTGGAAGATGTATTATCATATGCCCTCACATATCTGAACAACAGCACAAGAGTGATAAGTGAAAAGCATGGCCTTTTAAAAAGTCACGTTTGGAAAATCCTAAATGAATTAGGTGCTCATCTCCATACTAGCCAGCATCTAATCAGGCACGTTTTCACAATGCAACTTCATTATGAACTAGGTAGAGGCCCAGCCAGCATTCTTTACAGATATAGCGTTAACCAGAGAGGCATGCTTTTTGTGGAATGAAATGTAGAATAGGCAGAATATCCATTACTGGGCATGGAAAATCCATCATGTTCTGCCAACGTCCGACATCAAGCATGGTTTTCGATTAATATTTTATATGGAATTTACAATAATAAGCTGATCGGCCCAATATTTTACCAGGGTACATTAACTGCTGCACGATATTTAGAACTTCTTCCAGATGCAACACCCGATTTTGAGAGCCAGCCATTGCTTCAAGTCTGGAATGGATGGTTCCAACATGACAGTGGCTCTGCACACAAGCCATCACCAATGAAACAGTACTTGATGGAGGAATTCGGAGAACAAATAATCAGGTATAGTGTAACCCCTCCATAAATACTGCACCACTTTCAACGATGTATTACAGATATTTGTGCACACGTGTCACTGGCTATGTTTCAATGTGTGCTGCATGAAGTTCTAACAAGGGTCTAGATGGGAAATTTTAACATCAAAAATAAAAGTTATCGTATGATAACTAGTCTGTTTTTTCTTTCTAAGATTGCTTTGTCACATCACAGTGTAGAAAATTATGAACAAACAAATGTGCATTTAAAACATTATGTTAATCCTTTCGCACCGAATATCATGCATACGTGCCAGCAAGAAATACACTTATTTCCTGACTGTCATATATTTGTGCCAGCATCCTGAAACATTTTGAAGATGTCTTGTATTCATTAATTTTGAACTGAAAATAGTTTAAGCATTCTGACTTTCAGTTTGATCGCATTCAGTGTATTGTTGGTGTCAGCTGTTGCAGGGGATGTGCTGTAATGTAAGCATAAAGAGCTCCTCTTTAACTCACCACATGGTATAAACATTCTCCTTTCTATATCGCTTTCCTTTTTTATTCTTTACTAGCCACTATGCAGCTAGCCTTTTAAGCCTTTTTCTGGCTTTTAAATGTACTGGAAAAATGTCTAAAGGAAACACCAAACATTAAATTTAAAAACTGCACAGAATTTCGCCATTCAGATTCAATAACCATGCAGTCATTACTTTCACCATTTCAAAAACATCCCCCTCTCCAATTCTTCCCCCTTCTTTAAAATAGTATCCTCCTTTGCATACTTTGTCAAGGTCATTGTAGTGTTGCATTCCAAACCTTTGCAAATAATTTTACTAGTAGCAGCACAAAGCAAATGATAGTATTCCAGAAGGGCTTATATATATATATATATATATATATATACACACACACCCCACCCGCGGCAATTAAGGAATTAAAACTTCGAAATAATTTGAATAGTGCTTCTGAAAATTATTTCTCAAAGTAAGCAAATTTTTATATATTTTTTCATGTAAAGGGGCAAGATAGTTAAACACTAATTTTAATATATGTGATAGCATAAGTAATAATCTAAAATAATACGAAACATTATGGCATTAAGATATAAAAACTTTTTTTGTTATTTCCCCCCTAAAGTTAGGTTTAGTGGACGCAAAACCCTCGTCCTGTGGGAGGACTTCTTTTGTCTCCCATCCGTCCTGAGGGAGTGTCTTAAACAAAGACACACTGTCTTGAAAAGTTTAACGTTCATGCTCACGTGGTATCTTTTCATACTAAATCTATGACTGTCTACAACTTTGTGATTCCTTTTTCCTCCTATCTTGTGCTGCTTTTTAGATAGGAACAGTAACTCCTTCGTTTTGCACCAAGTAGCACTGTAAGTGGTCTCATCTAAGCAGCACATAACTGCAGCAGTTAGGCAGTTAAATGGCTGATACCAGACTTCAGTGGCCAGCATGTATGTATATATGTAAGGTATAGAATATGTAAAGCAAAGTTTCACATAATCCTTTTTATTCCTCATTTTAATTTGGATACGTCCTCTTTCTGTCCTAAAAATAGTGGCTATTTATAATATGTCAATCTAACCAGTGGATCATTTCAAAATTAATCCATATCATGTTTCCTTACATAACCTGCAATGCAGACACCTTTTATCCATTCATTTCAAGATTTCGATTAAGTAACTGAAGGTCCTTTGATTTTCCCCTCACTTCTGATGAATGCATAGTCACGCTTCTACTTTACTTGCTCCGTGGTAGGATGCTGTTCACGTACCTCTTTGTCTAGTATCCATTTTATGTCTTAAGATGTAAATTTCAAAGAATGGTACGAAGATGAGGTGCATATTGCAACTGTAATAATGATGTGTAATGACCCCTAATAATGATGCAGATATGCATCTAAAAAATTACTTCATTAACACATTAAAGGCGGGAGATCTTGACGAAAGTATGCTAGGTAAAACGGCGACCACCCCGCCTCGTTTATCGTCTTAGAGCAGACGATATTTTGTGTAATCGTAAAAAAAATTAGACTTAAAAAATTTTATTTAAACTCTTAAAACTACAAGAAATATTAAAAAAGAACTAAACACTAATTACAAAAAAAAATGTTTTAAAGTACATATTTATAAGAAGAATCTAGTAATTTTTATTAGTGTGATAACGTTGATAACACTCGCCACGATGAAGAGGTGCATTGCAAAACTCGCATTTGAAGCAAGTCAACTTTCTTTTTTAATGTGCCACGCAAACTGTGCAGTTTCGTCGAGCATATAAGCTTTTTGCCTTTATTTTCTATCCGAATTAATTTGTGCTTTTTGACGTGTATCAAAAGACGTTCAGGTGGATTAATTTTATATCATGGAGTACTTGGTGCCGAGTTCAATGTACATTGCTAAAAAAAAAATGAGGCAGTTCTATATCTCCCATTCTACTGGGCCGATTCACGAAATTCAAATTGCGTTCTTCATGTCTCGAAAGCGCGACTTAGGATATATATTAGATTTATATATAGCACTATTCTAACATAGGTATTTTGACACAAAATCGGACTTTTTCTGAAATAACATACCAATTTTTTTACATATTTCGATTCTACGACTCAAATTACGCCTAAATATTAAATTTTGTAAAATTTGGAGCGAAATTTACGGAGAAATTCAACAATTTATGTTGGCGCTTTTTATTCAGTTTGCGCCAAAATTAGTTCACTTGGCGAACTTCTTAATATGTGGCAACCTATTTTCATTTCTATTTTTACGTAGTGCGTGAGAGGAAAAAAGACTCAATCGTTCCTTCTTTCAAATAATGTTCTTTATCTTATATTTTTAATTATAATTGTTATTAATTTTAAGCAATTTGTTTTTCTTTTTCGAATTTATTTTAATTGGTTACGTTGCATAGTTTTTTTCGAATAACTGTTTTAAAAATTTCTATTTACTCATTCGAACTGCGTAGTTTAATAAAAGGTGCAGCGTTTATTTTTTTTTAAAATAGTTTTCTTTATACTATATTTTTTAGTCATAGTTACCGTTTTAGGTAATTTTTAAATTTTTAGACTTTTATTTTAATTGTTAGTGTTGCATTGTCTCTTCAAATAATTATTTTAAAATTTTCTATTTATTCATTCGAACTGAGCATTTTAAGTATATTTATTAATATAAATTTTCCAGAATTTGATTTTATTTATTTGAATTGCGTTTCTTTCGGAAGAATACTTTGTAACCCAGATTACGATGCGTTTGAAAACTGCATATATTAAAAGAGAAAATACAGTAAAGCACAGTTAACACGCCTTTCAATGTTCCGTTCAGAAAAGATATATATATAAATAAGAGAGATGTATAACCGACATTTTAACTTAGGATGACTTGCATACACTGCTTTAAACAGTTTTATCATTGTGCCCATTGCTTTACACAATTTTATCCTACATTTGGTTTCTTAAAATGTTATTCATATTTTAGTCAAATATTTTATTTTTGAAATCGCAAGAATCAAATATCATAAGATTAAAAAGTTTTAAATTAAAAAAAGTACAAATACTAAATTTTACGCAAAAATTTGTTTTTTTCTTCAGGCATTCTGCTTCAGTC